GGACAATATCTGCTTTGTCATGCCTGGAGCTGATCCGTGCTGGTTGCTGAGGAAATACATCAACTTTACGCTGTGGATCGCCGGATCGGCTTTCACCGTGGACGAAGCGGAGTCCAGCCCTGGGGTCGTAACATGTGGTTGCTGCAAGCCCACCGGCCGCTCCTTCGTCGAATCCACCACCTCTGCTCACTCTAGCCCTCCGGCCGTTCTTCGCTTTATCCCCCAGCCTCTGCTCACTCAAGGCCGTGGTTGATGCTGTGTTTTGTTCTGAAAGCTAAACTACTTTGTGTGGCCTTCCAAAAATGGACACGACTAGAAATCAGTGGTTAAGTTGTATTTACAACACTGTTCCAGAACAGTTCAACCCAAATATTCAGATGTGTGCAGCACATTTTATGGAGGACTGTTTCCTGATCCTTGGAGAGTGCCGGCTGTTGTAGGGCTTTGTAAAAATCGATGCGTTTCAGAAAGGCGAGGCATAGAGGAGAAACAATAATGTACAGTATGTGGAAAATAATGTGTTTTTGGAACCTTGAACCACAAACACATTTCATTACACCAAATACACAAAATAATGTTCTTTTTAGCAGCATCATATGACCCCTTTAATATGTTGTGTTTTATTATACAGGTGATGACCGCACAGAGTAGCATTATAACAGAACTTTCAAATGTATCTAGTATGATAAAACAGCGCTGCTTTACCCCACATACACACTACCGGAAGGAACAGAAGCGGTCGACTGTGGCATAATAAAAGCTCCGCTGCTTCCGAGCCGTGTGTCGCGCTCGTCTCTCATTAGAAATTGCTTCAGCGGCCTCGTTTCGCTTCGACGGCTTTCAGCATCACCCTGCTTCATACTACGAAATCTAATGAAATCTTGAATACATTAGCTCATCCATGAGTATAATTTCTGCCCAAATCCCGTCGGATTGCGTCGGCTGTGGGGATGAAGACCACAACTCCCATGATTCCACACTCAGTCACGGTGTCATCAAACTATGCCTTTGTTTCTTTGGAAAGCGTGCCCTCTAGCAGCGAAAACTTACATATTGTGCCTTTAATGTGTGTCTTCTTTAATATTTCTTTCCCAATCTTTTGAACTATAGTGTATGTCAATAGATTCACTAAATATTACCTGCAATGACTTTTTTCACTTTCCAATCATTTGCTTTCTTCTGAATGTGCTGCATGAATATGCAATTCAATTGTAAGTTTTTCTTATGAATATAGCTGAAATGTAGCTGTGAAATGATGACGTAATATGGCAACTTGCATCTCGTGTTGAGGTCTTGTGAAGGGAATACACTGCTGTACTTGCCATGGAAATCGCTGTCCGCAGGAACTGCATGTCAATACCTAAAATGTAAGATATGTATATAGTAACATGAATCAAGATCAACCAATGGAATATGGCAAAACTGTTCGACAACAGGTATTATTCTGGCAGTTTTGCAAATGCATCAGATTATGTCAACATCACTGCTTGTTGACTTTAAGATGACTCTTACCCTGGTTGTGCTTTGTGCCAAATGGCGGGTTCATGATGACCGTGTCAAACTTCTTGGCGTAAGAGGATCCAATAGAGCAAACATCACACTGGACCATGTCAATGTTTGACAGTTCAAAATCCTCAACATTTCCTTTGAATATGTCCAAGGCGTCTTCATCAATGTCAAATCTGACACACAGTCTTAAGAGGAAAGATTGCAGTTATGTAGATATATTTTAAAAACTAGAGTAATTCTAGGCCACGGATGGAAGGATGGAGTTGGTCTTACCCAGCATCAAGCACTGCAGCTCCTACAGACAGAACCCCACATCCACAGCCCAAGTCTGCAACTAGTTTATTCTGTATGTCATCAAATGTAATGTGGATGGTGTACAACATACAGCCTACAGTGAGTGAGAACACATAGAACAACTGGATGGTGTCTTATGCCATAATAAATTATGTTAAGGGGATAGTTCACCCAAAAATGGAAATTCTGTCATTAATTACTCATCCTCATGTCGTTTCAAACCCGTAAGACCTTCGTTCATTTTCGGAAAACAAATGAAGATATTTTTGATGGAATCTGAGAGCTGCCTGACCCTGCATAGACAGCAACACAACTGAAATGTTCCCAAGTCCAGAAACGTAGCAAGGAGATCTGTAAAATAATCCATGTGACATCAGTGGTTCATCCGCAATTATACGAAGCTACGAGAATACTTTTTGTGCACAAAAGAAAAAAAACAAACAAATTTATTTAACAATTCGTCTCCTCCGCATCACCCTGGTGCCATTTTGAGTGAATAATTTTTTGGGTGAACTAACCCTTTAAGACAAATAGGGCACTCAAGGCCATCTGTCCCAGACAAAAGACTCCCAAATGTTCAATAAAATGATGAATTCAATATTCATACACAATTTCTAAAATGTATAATGCCTACTATTTTTAAACAGTATATTTTAAGTAGTTTTTAGTATATTTAAACAGTATATGTAAACAGTATGCAATATACATTATGCAGTGATAAACCGTTTTTGTCACATTGTTTCACATGACCTCATTATATGCATATTTAATTCAGTAAGTGGCTACAGTGAACCTTTTTGTGCCACAAAATAAAAATATAAAGAGGAAAACTTTTTCTCTCAAAAATCTACTTTATTTCTCATAATTTTGAGTTCATTACGGAATTGCGAGTTTACAACAATATTGACTTTATTTTGCACAATCGCAAGTTAAATATAAAAAGTGAGTGAACTCACAATTGCGAGAAATAATGTCAAAATTTCATTATAAATTTGCAATTCTGAGAAAAAATTTAGAATTGTGAGATTTGAGACTGTAGGAAATATATATTTCTATAAAAAGTCAGAATTGTTACAATTTCGCAATTCTGCGGAAAAAACGTCTGAATTATGAGATAAACACGCAACTCTTGAGACAAAAAGTCAGACCTGCAAAGGTTTTTATTCAAAATTGTGAGATATAAATTCAGAAATGTGAGAAATAAAGTCCGAATTGAGAGATAAAAAGTCACAATTAAATTTTTTTTGATTCTGTGGCAGAAACAGGCTTCCAGTTGTAATTTTGCATAAAACAGCTACTTTTCTATTGTTAACACAATTTTATGTAAAATGTTTTAAACAACTTAAACCTCTTAAAAAAAATTAGCAAAGATAAATATAGTTAGTTACTGATCATTTTTCACACTACAAACGAAAAGTCAAGACAAGTGTGGTGCATTGTGGGATACAGTAACCTAATGCAGTATTTCAGATATGAATACAGAACATTTGCATACTGCGCACAGTATATACTAGCTACAGGAATAGTATGCATACTGCACACAGTATATACTAACGAGGGTTTGAGATACGTTTTCTCTTGTTTGGTGGGTGTGTCAAAAATGTCAGCCCGATCAGCAGCAACATGTATATAAACCATACTGTATTAAAGAGACAGCTTGCATAACATCAAAATAAATTCATAAGAGCAAGTATATTGTTTGCACATGTTTATTTACATTAAAGGCAAAATGACTGAAATAATTAGAGCACAGGTATAGATCTGGAATTTCTTTAAGTCAGTCTAAATATCATTTAGTAATTGCAGTGTCATCTGGTCCATCCTTTCCTCAGGAAGGTGTGCTAAATACTGATTAATGTAACATAAAAATACTATACATATTTATTTTGCTATAGTATTGTGGAGTGACACTTTCAAAAACTTTTCTGTACTCCTCTGATTATATAATGGTAAATATTACAATAACATAGCACAACAACAGTGATCAGCAATAATGAGAAGCCTAATACTCACAATAAAAATAATAAGGTCATATAGATCATAACCAGGGTTTGAAATTAACACCCGCCACCCGGGTAACGCTGTCAAATCACTAGCCAATTTGGCGGGTTACTTTTCGTAAGTTATGTTCACTCATTAATTTCTTGGGGAAGTTCATGCAAGCCAAAACTGCGCAGGTTTAGCGCAAATAGGCCTACTGAACTCGTGAGACACCATGACATTATCTAGTATATTGCAAAAACCAAACAAAACACACCTACAGAGGCACACATACGAGACCTGATGAAGTCTGGTTAGACAAACCCAGGCTTTAGTGCGCGTGCACATTTAACGTGGTTCTTTCACTGCATAATTCAGTCTATTAATATGCATTAGAATGATCACATAATTCAAGATAAGGGGGCAGAAAATGTATACAGTATATATATATATATATATATAAATTAATATAGTTAATCAATATCACACGAAGAGTGCTGTTTTTTTCTTAAAAAATCAGCATGGTTCCAAATGTGATATTGATTTTATACAACAGTTCAATAAACAATAAGTTAATATCAAGAGACTTACGTTTTAGACACCATATTGGCTGTTTTCGCGCTATTTCTGCGCTATTTCGCCAACAACAACAAAAAAACATTCCAAATACAGCCACAGCACAGTTTTGTGTCTCTGAGCAACATGTCGTTGTTTTGTTCCTGAATGAATCAACCGTTTAAATGATTCGGTTCAATCGCAATGACTCACTTATTAACAGTGACTTGCTGCCACCTGCTGGCGGTTTTAATTTAACATTTAAAGGGGTCATATGATGCTTTTTTAAAGATCATTATTTTGTGTTTTTGATGTAACAGAATATGTTGACATGCTTTAATGTTCAAAAAACACATTATTTTTCAAATACTGTACATTATTGTAGGTCCTCTATGCCCCGCCTCTCTCAAACACATCGTTTTCTACAAAGTCCCTCCTTCCGACAAGCGCAGTCTGCCCTGATTGGCCAGCTGACCCAGTGCATTGTGATTGGCCGAACACCGCAAGCACTCGTCGGAAATGTAACGCCCCTTACCATAATCGCAAGCTACATCTTTCAAAATAAATGTAAAGACAGAGCCCCGAAAGGGGAACAGAGTCGCGTGACAAACACAGTGATGAAGCTGGTATGTGTTTGTGATGTCAAGTCAAGTCAAGTCACCTTTATTTATATAGCGCTTTTAGCAATACAGATTGTGTCAAAGCAACTGTAGAAAATAGTGAGTCAATAATGCAAAATGACAATCGTAAACACTCATTTTTCAGCTAAAGACAGTTCATTATTGGATTCAGTGATGTCATCATCCAGCTCAGTTCAGTTTAAATAGTATCTTTGCAATCATTTGCAATCAAGTCAACGATAATCGCTGGAAATGAAGTGTCCCCAACTAAGCAAGCCAGAGGCGAC